AAAAAAATGCTTCATGATAGCCGTGCAACCTATGCGATGTGAATCCATAACAGCATTACGTCAAATTTTAATTACATCAAGCTGTCATCACGATAAATTATAAATAAACTTTATTTGGCAAATGCTTTTTTTTAAGTTGCTTTTCGAAGGCTTGGCATGTCACAAATTTGAATTTTAACTATATTGCATGTGTATGTCCTCCATGATTTGACAATGTTTTGAGAATAAAACATAAACAGTCGTTATATTCTCTATACCAGAGGGTTATTAGTGCAACCTGGAAGTATGTTATACATGTGTTTGTTTCAGTCAGAACACTCGTCATAAAAACATCTTGATTAATCTTTGTTTTATGTTAACCTTGCCTTTTCTTTTTGAATTGTAGCTCCATGCCACTTTGATGAATGTAAGACATAGAAAAAGGTTTGTGTGAGCTGCATTTTTATTTGTTACGTTAGCGCCTATCTTTGGTTAATGGTAGTTATGACTGAAGCTTATAGCATATGTTTTCAGAAATATGAGGACTGAAAGAGTTGATTCTTTTGATGCACGAGGTATATTTAAGAAGTATGGCAAAGAAGATTGGGGCGAATATGTAATTCCAGAAGCACATCTTTCTCAGAGATTTCTTTATGATGAAAGTGGATACTACCATTGCTGTTGCTCGATACCCTTTCCTGTAGCATCGAAATTCAGTGGTTTCTAAGGCTGTTGAGTCAGGTGAAACATTTCTATATTTGAAAAATAGACTTCTATAGTTTTCTATTTTAGTTTCTTGCCACCCTTAAGTGTGTAAGTGCGATCAAGCTTCATTTCTTTGATACAGAACAGACAAAAAGTTTAATCTAATGATTTGGCATTGGAATTTGCATACTATCAACCAAGTTTATGATAAGCAAACACCAGGTTTTAGATGACAATCAGGTTTTAATCTGCTTGCAATCATCAATGCTTGATACTAGATCATTCTATAGACCAATTCATTTTTGTAATCTTCCAACCTATTATTTTAGAAAATTCCATATTTTTATTTTAACAGCATTCAATGGTGGTGCATTTATTTTATGTTATCCCCAAACAATGAATCAATTTATTCATATGTGCAATCGAAAGCGTGGTTTTCGTGCGACGCGTTCTGAAGCATCGGTGGCTCTCTTTGGGTTGAGAAAATATTACATATTACATTCGTTCACCATATGTA